ATACGTGTACCATTATCTAGTGGCAGTGTTCCATTTTCACCATGATATTACATTTTTTGGTTGCTATTGTACGTTGTTATATGTTGATACTTCGACAAGCATCAACTTCCCAGGACATCTAATCTTAAAACCAAAAAATATTGTAGACGTGTTCAATAAATGGTTCAAAATCAAACCATTTTAGCATACATTCCTCTATTTTACCACCACTCTACGTACTTGTTCTACAACAAATAATAATCATATGGATGTATCTTGTGGTATTTGCTTCTTGAAATCAAAGCATTGCATACATAGAATGCAGCCTACTACCTAATTAATGGGTGGGAAAAGACCTACCCATTACTTATTTTAAAATTTTAAACATACATCATTTTTTTGACAAATGTTATTGAATTTATTAATCAAAAAAAATTACATCAGAAAAAAAAATTTGAAAACACATCGAAATAAAAGAAAACAATACATAATATTTGTGTCACATTCTATGACTCATTCTTGAAGAGGTATACTTGTCTCTGGTTCAGGGGTTGTATAGGCCTTGCATTCTTCTCAAATTCCTGTCGAATACAAAAAAGAAAACATCAGTCTAAAGAATTTTTCCATTGTTTTTTCTTGGTGAATAAAGCATGAGCTAAATGAAATTTCGCACTTCTTCAACAGCGGCCCTTAGCATTCGCAGCTGCGCCTTTGATACAGTCTTCACCTGCAACAAGAAAATAGAAAAATGAGAAGTCTACACCTTTTGCCATTAAACAACTCACATGAGATAGGGGAACAGATAGTTTGAAAACAAGGAGCAAATGATAAAGTGGGTAATGGTTGGCACTTTGAGTGTGTGTGGGGGGAATACAATAGGTAGCCTCGACAAAGAACAAGCAGTGTGGGCCTGAGCCACTGCAAATTGTGTTGAGGTATGAAATCCCTGGACTTGTCCTGGCCGAATAGGTCACATGTATTGACCCCGCCCCGGGACTGGCCAGGTTGAGTCGCATGGCTCATTGCTAGGCCTATCTACATGTACTTGGCTATTGGTTCATGTAAAAGTAGAGGATGCAAACCCAATTAAGTAATTATAGCCTCCTTAGGGTATGTTTACCTCTTTTATGACAGTCCAAGTGACTCCCTCATCGCAGGAAGGAGTGGTGAGGGAACCAAAGTATCTATAGTATGATTCTCTCTCCAAATCTATTGCATGATCCGGGTTCACTAATCCAACTTTTTCTTCAGATCCCTTTTCATCATTGATATCGTCAATCTCATCCATCACCTTTCAACAACCAACACACAGAAACATTAGAATAAACAAATGCTCAATCCTCATGCCACTTGAAACCAGAGGGGCTTTCATAAATCTAAATCACCTCACCTTCAATAGGAAATGATCTTGCAGCCCAACTTTATAGATCACTGCAACTACGGCAATTCGTCCATCTGCGCTGCGATGGACCATATGCATCTCCAAGTCATATCTACAGACAAAGGCTACAATATTCAGCTACTACATACTTATCATGTGAATTCATGTCAAGAGACTTATTTAAATGCATGGTGGAGTTCAGAGACCCTTTTTGCATCTATTGAGAAAATAAAAGGTCTACCTGCCATTTTACAAAAAGAACATGAGGCTGTTGTTATAAAACATAATGGTTAGACTACTAAGGGTTTAACAAGGGCGATACTATACTTTCATAGCGTTTGAAGACTTTAAATAAACAAGAAGTTGGTGGTGGTTGTTTTAGTAATAGTGCCATAAAAATCGTAAATATTGAACAAAAAGCAACTCAAAACTTGAACAACAGTAGTAGGGCAGACCTGTAACCATCTAAAGTATGTTCAGATGGAGAATGCCAGTGAAACTCCTCAAGTAAGAATTGGGTTCCATTGATGTGTATCGCACCAGCACTCCCTTTCTCCCATTCCAACTGTTGTCAGCAAGCAAAACATAGAAACTCTATGAATATCCAAGAAAAGTTATAACTATGAACGTTGTATGGGAAAATGATTTTAATTAATTGTAAAGAAAAGGATGAAAAAATCTTGATGTATGAGAAATTGATTTTAAATAATTGTAATGAAAAGGATGAAAAAATCTTGTGAATTTGGCTGAATCTTGAATTTTTACGTTTTAATCAATGAATCTCACCCAAGGTGAGGCATATTGTGGTGTGTTGATGCCTACTTGGGTTAGTACATTGGATATGGATTTGGGTAAAAAAGGGTGGAGTGAATAAAGAAACGTCGCCAACTGATGTGCCTAAAAGTTTTGATGAAAAGGTCAACAACAATAAATTTGAGAATGGGATGGAGCCTCAGCGGTACTACTGTCAAGCCTCATGATGAAGTCTTTGACTCTATTCTCATGAAATATTAGGGCCCAAATCCCCACTGACTTACCTCTTTGAAAAATGGGTTAGGGTCGTATTGGTAGCACCCCTTATATTTCAGTATACATTGTGGCTTCCATTCCCACTTACGAGTTCGAAAACTACTAAGGATTTTAAAAAACCTGGTAGGGGCCTAAATTCACCCACTGAATTTACCCAAAAGAAGAGGTGAGTAATAAGTAAAAGACTTTTGTTTTCAATGTTGTAAAAAACATTGTTTCAAGTCAACATTTGCCCCCCACTAATGAAAACCAAGATAGTGGATCAACTCAATCATATTTCGGATTCTCATACCCCAATGTCATGGCCAGAGTTTGCAAGTGTGGCATGTGCAGGCTCATATCGAGCCTTTAGGCTCTTTAAGTTGGGGTCGTATATGGCATTTGCATGAATGATATCAATGGGTGATTGCGTGGTGCCATTGGAGCATGCCACCCATTCAGGGCGGACCCTGCCCCAAAATTTTGGTCCATTGCTGCTACCTTCCACATAGCTGAACTCAGCTTTCTCAACTGCAAAACCATCAAACCACATCATTTTGAGTATGCATTTCGAGAGAAGCATTGAGAAAAAGAAAGTACACAATAAAAATAAACCAGAATGAGAAAAGAACACAATAAAAATAAACCAGAATGAGAAAAGAAGAAGAAAATGATGTAAAATAACGAATGAATAAAAATACCCCCACACAGAGAGGGAGAGAGACAGGAGAGATTTTGTCTAGTGGGCAATTGAATAATATGATCATCTTGAAAATTGACTTTTAAGATTCATTTTCAGGTGATTTGTGGTTCCTTGATTAATTTTGTAAATGAATGCTTAGAAAAAAAATTAAAAATTGTAAAATTTTTCATTTGTCAAGAAAAAACAAAAACAAAGGAAACTACTTCGTGGTCTAGAGATTAGAAATTAGTCAAAATAATAGTAGAAGAGGGAGTGAAGCAAGGGCAAAGCAACAAGGGCTATAAGAGAATCACAACCAAGAAAATGGAGGGCTTAAAGGGTTTTAATGGATATTCTACTAAGTAATAAAACCATGCGATTGATTACCATGATCTTCGCAGGAGACCAGAAAAGGATAAAAGAAAAGGAGAATGAAGAAGGAAGAAGAGAGCTTCATATTCATCTTTCTAAAACAAAAGCTTATTGTTTTCACGAAAGCTTACAGTGAGTTTGTGGAAGGTTATAGTTGAGATCTTTGTTATTTATAGAGAGGAGAGGTTGGACAGTATGAGACGACTTTAGCCACACGGTAACTGGAAAAAGTATGACAAGCTAGCCGATGTTTACCATGGAGATTATTTTATAATTTAAGAAGGTTCATTGGGTGATTTTTTCATTAGAATATGACGATATTTTGTTATAGTTCTGCCTCTAGAATAGCCCTTCCATTAAATATTCAAAAAAACAAAGGGGAAAAAACACAAGGAAATCTTTGTACACGTTCTGGTTTGGCTCGGCAATGACAGAGAGTTTGACATATTAATCTCAAATCCTAAGTCCTAATTAACTTGTGTGGAAAAGAATTACATTAAAATTTTTTCTTTCGACTAAGTCTAAAGACGCCATGTCTCTAGTAAAATATAGGAGTGTTACTCGTGCATTATTTTTAAAATATAATAGTGTTACTCGCGCATTAGCATTAGATACCATGGTCGCGATTAGAAAAAGAGAAAAGCCAAAGGATTTTGTGCTCCTGAGGGATCTAATTATCCATTCACTCCCTCAGGCAAAAACTAAGATACGGGTATCTTTAGGAACCCAAATCATGGGGATTTATCCTCTAGGACAACTTAGAGACCAACTCAACTGTGAGAGAGAGAGAGAGAGAGAGAGAGAATTCTAACAAACAATGTATGAGCTAGAGAAAAATAACATCCCAAAATTGAATTTACATTGCCCCATATCTTGACAACAAAATCTAAATATTGTTCAAACTCCAATTTTATTTTTCAAGAAATATCAACTGATGATATGAGGTCCCCAATTATCTGGTAAACAAACTATCCAAGTATATCTTTTAAATGAGGGAGCAAATGGATAAGTTGCTCCTACGGGATCATAGCACAGGTGCGCAAAAGAAGAATAGGAATAATTCACAAGGGATCATGATCCTCATCAACCTTGGATCGAAGCACGTGTTTGATACTTTTCTGAATTGGGGTTTATTAATTGTATTCCGTACTGTGGATGTGCACGGAATTCAAACCTGCACCGTAGTACCAACTTTTATATCACGTGGAAGTTAATGGTCATACCTAGGGGTAGCAATGGACCCGCCCATAACCGTCTGGTATATTCGGCACGGTTTCAGGTATAGAACCAAGTTTTTGACTTACGGATATCTCATAAAAGATGTCAGGATAATTTCGGATCCGGATATGGGTCATCTTATACTCGACTTGACGGGTATTGGATTCGAATCTTTAATTTACCCAAAAGCCAAAGCCTTAACTTTAAAATTGTTTCAATACTTTTTGTTTTTATCTGATTCCTCAATCAGCCAAACCCCATCGCCATTCTCCCTATCTGCAATTCTCTCTCTGTTTTAGTTTCTTAAAGATATAGCTCTCTCTCTCTCTCTGGATCTCGAATGTCTCTCTCTCACTTAACTCTAATCACCCACCCCTCAAAGATCAGTTCTCTATTGTTCACCATTGTAGGCAGCAAAAAAAGAAGCTCATAGTGAGGGTGGCACTGGATCCAACCAAACCTGGGACCCGATATATATGGGTATGGGTCCAATTTTTGCACCTGATGAGTCACGTCTTGGTCCAAAACCTAGCCGCATATTTATACGGGATCTTGCATAGTCTTGATTAATCAATATAGTTCTCTGCAGTATTATGAGTTTCGAATAGAAAGAATATAAGAAGCTTGTTCTTAATATTTAGTTTCAATCTCCTCCTTTTGTCTCTATCATTAGCGAATGATTCTCTTTTTAATGATACAAAGAATAAAGGCTGCATAAATACATATAGTAAGTGCCTTAGTGGTGTGCATATTGAATGTTGGTTTTTTATTAAGCTTAATAATTTCTAATACATAGATGAGTGAAACTTGATTTTTCCCTTTTTTTCTTTTTAATTTAAGATTGTAGCAACCCCAAAGAAAATGCATAAATTATGTATCGTTTGCTGTGTATGGGTCACTGTCTCAAACTTCTAGGATTTTATTGCTCCTTTTTTTATTTGCAGCTTGACTCACAATGACAACTACTCCCAGCTCAGATCAAAAGGAACTACATTGTCAAAGTCGAATAGCTAGCTGGTTTTCCAGCTTTGTGTTTCCAAGAGCTCAGACGTAGTTGCATGGTGGGTAAATGAAATGTACATTCGATCTTTTGTAGGGACCTTGTAAAGGGAGCAAATGTTTTATTTTTTAATGAAGTATTTGAGTACGGATACTCTATTTCAAAGAGAGGTGCTATTTATTATGGATGTTTGGATGACTGTGCACGAGACTTGTAATCTATTCTTATGCGTACCTTTGTTTTGGAAACTTGATCGACAAAAGGGAGATTTGGATGTCTACTTGAAATTAAAGAATTTTTTTTTTTTTTTTTTTTTTTCGGCTTTTCAGGAACTAAAAAGATGCATGTCTGTTTGATTGTTGAGTGCCATTGATGTGCTGTAAGAGGGAGAGAGAGTGAGTCAGAGGTAACAATGTCGTGGTAGTGTGTGCACATGTGCGCGCAAATGCTTTGGCCCCATAGTATTTTGGCATGTGCCCATCTTTGCCGTAGTAGTGCGCACGTACAAAATCTGCGTACGATCTTTTATTGGGCTTCCAAGGCCCAGGGGTGGCTTATGGAATGAAAAATACATCAATGTTATGTACTACAAATGAATCTGAGATTTCAAGGGTAATCTTTGACACGGTTTGCCTGAACTTGAGAATTCTCCCAAAAAAACAACAAAAAAAACAAAAAAAAAAAACAAAAAAGAAACGAAAGGGAAAAAGCTGGAAAACCATTTGCCTATGAAAACAAACTTAGAAATCCATTTCATAGAAAAAACAATGTTAAAAACCAGTCATTGGTCTTACCATATCTGGGCAAAAAGAAAAATGGGGTTTTTGGATTTTATTGCTATTTGAATCCATATTTTCAAGACCCATTAATACCCATAAGCTACTTTTACCCAAAAATGGGCCTATGAACCAGTTTTCAAATAAACATGATTTAGAAAGGATTTGAGGAAAAAGATCGGACGTCCTCCATTTTCCCTATGATGAATAGAATATTCAGCTACCTTTAAGGATTTTAAAACCTTCATTTTGGCTGAACCCCACTAGTATCTTGAAATCGGATCCATAAAGTTTATATAAGGTTGCAACTTTAAAATGTAGAAATATAGGTGCACCTCAAAAATCTATTGGAAAGGTTGTTTCAATGTTGAAAAACCATGTAATTGATCATCTCAACATTGAGATGTACGAATATGAAAAAGATAAATAAAAAATTTTTAGTCCCAAAAATAGTGCATCGTACAACACATTATCTAGACCGACCACTTTCAGGATTTTCATATGTTTATTGAACTATTTGATTTTAACTATTTTTTAAATTTCAAATTTTTTAATTAGATATGACAATAGATTTTAATAAATTTACAACAAAATTACATGTTATAATAAAATTTGAATGTGTACCTTAATTGGATTGTTTAAGGTTGCAATATTGTAGAAACCACACCCAAAACAAAAACCAAAACAGGTATAGATTCCAAAATATTTTCTTAAGCTAGGTAAGGGTAGTACAGTAATGGATTGGTCAGTCATAGGGTTAACAACATAGAAGACATTAAGCTAAATTGGAAGCTGTGAACCCAAGCTCAAAGAAAGGTGAGGGTTCTAGATGGAGAGAGCAAATAGATTATTTTTTTTTTTTTGGGGAACTGTGATAGCAAAAAGATTCCTCAGTGCAAAGAGAATAAGGGATAAAAAATGGTGACCTAAAAGATAGAGTGAGAAAGCATTGTTACTATTAGAGAGTGGTGAAGAGTACTTTGTCTTCTAGAGAGAGAGCTTTAATAGCTAAATGGGAAGAAGCAACTAAGGGAACCGGGACTACCAATCGTTCGTTCCCGTCTCTAGCTATTTGGATGCCATTTGTGTTAGGATTTAAGAGTTTTTTAAGATGCGGAAACAAGAATATCAAAAATTGAATTCCATCAAGATCGTACATTTATCTAGCTAGAAACAAACTAAGAGACACGACAAGCCATAATGCGAGAAATAAAACACGAAACACACACACACCACAAGAACACAAAAATTTATGTGGTTCACCCCAAGAGGGCTACATTCACGAGTACGGTAAACTGAAATCCACTATAAAGTCATATTACAGATTTTGGGAAACAGAGTTACCTCTGTAGCCCTCGACAAAACCCAGTTGAATAAACCCTTTTAGACCAAGTCTCCCAACCAGCACCACCCATCAATCTCTCATCTCTATTTCACAACTAAATTACCATCCAAGAATAGGTCATCTCCATCCCACAACTAAACCATTGTCAAGGAGAAGAACCTTAAGAGTAACTGAGACTTTCTCTCTCTAAAAGGTGAAACAACCCAAAATCTTCATAAGAACCGTTTCTCTACGAGAAACCAGCCTCACAATCTACAAGAGGCACATTTATGGTGTTTCTCTCCGAATGAAGCTTTCTTCTCTCTAAAGAGAGGCATTGCCTCTCATGCGCAGGAAGCCCCTACTTCTCTCTTTAAAGAAAGTTATCTTTCCCATATGGTGACTCAAACAGGGTATACAAATTCTCTGCACTTTCATCTCATATATATAAAGTTACGAATTCACATCAAATAGGAAACTTCATATAGATGTTACATATATCTCAAGATGCAAGAGATTTATCCCAAAATCCTAATCCTTTTCGATTTGTATTTCCTTTAGGAAATTTATCAATATCAATCACAATTCCACATAATATGGGATTTCTTAATGTAAATGATTTTTGCTAATTACCATATCCAACAATCTCCACCTTGATATCAAAATAACTTGCTCACCATGCCAACTTCTTTTTTTGAATTTTTCATCTTTTGTCAAATAAATTTCTTTATCATTTTTGCTAAAAAAATAGTGTTTACCATCATAGTTATCTACCTCATATAAAATATTATGCATATTTTTC